GTAATAACTGTTCATATCCTTTAACTTTAGAGTTTGCAAATCTGGGTACATTAGAAAGGTTAAAGTGTTAAACACAAAACTAGCTTTCAGGAAACTTCTTTCTAAAGGAAATCTGTCCTCAGTGAGTGTTTTGAAGTAGCGGGGGGTCAGAACCCACTCAGGGTTTTGTGCTGCCTGCAGTCGCTCCAGCACCCACTGACACAATCAGACGCTTTGAGGCTCAGCACCAGGGGGTTGCTCTGGCAGAATGATCCCACCTGGACACAAATCACATCCAGCTGAAGCACAGCAGCTCAAACGGTCGATAACATTTACACTGCGGCGTTCATCGTACCTGGATCTGTGCAGCTGGCCGAGATGAAAATCGGACTTTGTCTAACTTGTTTCACTCTGTCACCTGATGCATCACGTTCATGTCTGATCTGTGTGGATGAGCAGGTGTGTGTGGATGGTTTAGTGACGAGCGGCCTGTCGTCTGTTAGCAGAGAGTAGAACCTCTGACAGTCTTTAGAAAGGATAGAACAGAGATTCATTTTAGCATTTTATTACTTGTTTTTTCACATTTAATGTCCTAATTTAGCTCAAATACGGAGATTTTAAAAATATATTTTGTGACTTTCTATGTGTGTAGCTGACAATAAAGTGGAAAATCCCTGCCTTGTGCTTGATGAATTTGTCAGTGATTTATTAGTTTAAAAGTAAAACGTTAAAAACCACCTGTACTGAATAATGTGAAGAAACTTAAAAAGGGCCAACAGGCACAAAAATATTAAGCCTTGTCTTTACTGAGAGCAAGTTCTTTATTTTCTAATGAAATACTTGAAAAATATTAACACCATGAAATAAATACTAAAATATTTTTTATTTACGGCTAAACAAAGGTCTAAGTTTTTCGGGTGTGTAAAAGGTATATAAGAGCCGCCATAAAGCAGAGGTTCTCAAACTGGGGTCGGACCCACAGGGGTTCATGAGCAGTAGCTTGGGGGTCCTTAAAAATTATGATAAACTGTTAATTTTTGTTTTTCGTTTAAAAAAACTGCATTTATATACATACATATGGGGAACAATGCTCCAGTAAAACAAACACTCATCTAAACAATTAACAGTAATTATGGCACTGAGGGGTTAAAATGGCAAAAAATATTTTTTAAATCAGCATGAGTTTATCAAGGAGTCCCTGGAAATTTTCTTACTTCTTTAATTGGTCCTCAGACTAGTCTGCAAAAATAAAAAATAAAACAGAATTTGCTGGTTTCTGATCCACACACTAGAGGTTGATTGTAGTTTCTGCAAGTTTGGACACTTTTGTGGATATCAGGACCTGATTGGGGATCTGTTATTACATGCTGCACATTTGTCATTTTAAAACATTTGGTCAGTTGTGTGTAATTTAGCTTTTTTATATCTATTTGTGGTTATTTTTGTCTTGTTTTTTTACATCCCTTTCTCAACTCTTGATGTCCTATTTTCTTCTTTGCTGGTAGACTTGGCGTAAATTATGGGTCATTTATTTGATGTCTTATTTTAAATATTTTGTTTCTAATATGAGCTCAGTGAGGTGCTCCTTCATGTTGAAAGGAGTCAGCTCTGGACTTCCTTCTAGAGGTGTTCTGGATGGACACAGGGATGGGTTTTTCATTGCTTAGTGTTGCTTTTGTGTTATTTTTCTTCCCACATTGCCGTTTTCACACACTTTATGGATCTACATGTCTTTGTTTAATTTTTGTCTTTCTGTGGTTATATTTACTCTCAATAATAATTTATTATGTGGCGTCATGGGCCCTTTCACCTGGCTGTACATGCCAACATCGCTCTGCGTCGCCACAATTACGCAAAACCAAACTTGCTGTGTTTCAGTCACAGTATTAATAAAATTCAGCCTCATATGGATGTTTTGCTTCTGCCTCATGTGTGTGATGTTCAGTATTTATTGCTTTGTGTTCAGGTCTGAAAACTTCTTTAGAAAGGCCTGAAAAAAGTTGTGACTTGAGGGCAAATTTACTGCCACTGGAGTTTTGTTTGCACTTTTTCACATGTGACCTCAGGCAGGGCTTTCTCTCAAAGGAAGCAACATTTCCTCAAACACACAGGTTCTCTTCTCCTCTTTCTGCACCATCACACTCATGGAGGGGGGTTGTTCACTCCAGCAGGATTTTTGAAGCACAGCTACACCCCTGCTGTCAGGTCTTCTCAGGAGTCGTTCAGGATGTTAATAATCCCACGAGGACCACTTGTGTTGTGAAAGAAGACGAGCCAGTTTGTCACTGGGGGGCTGCGCGCTTGTCGGCGTCCATCAGATCCCAGAGGTTTGATGCAGCACTGAGGCATGGGGAGGCGTCAAGTTTATCATCTTCACCTGATCCATCTGAGAGTTTCTGTGTGTCTGACTCCTGGCTTTTACTTTCCTGGCCTTTTATATTACTGTCAATAATAAAATGAAGAGTTTCGGGTCAGTTGTGACATCATATCTTTTATATCCATGCATTTGACCTGCTTCTGGATCACAGACCACGCCACACAAAGGCCAGGAGTTGAAACTGTGATTTTCTTTGCTGTGAGGCGACAGCTCCAACCACTGATCCACCCATCACTTACAATTTAAACGACTGTCTTATAGCAAATCATCTTGTGAAGCACTGGTCAAATTTAATGGAGCTTGCAGTAACTAATTATTGTTGCACCTTAAGAGCTAAACAATTTTCAGAGGGCAGTCACGGCCAAACACAAAACTGACTTTTAATTCAGTCAGTTTTACCTAAAGTTTGGTGATGTAGCAGCTGAAACTGAACCCCAACTTATAATCTGAGCACAAACTCTTCATTTAAAAATTTTGCCACCATACTATTTGAAGCTGATGATGTTTGCTTACAAAATATGTCATGATGTATCCTAATGAAACTTTCAGGAAATAGTGTATTTCTACAAGTGATAAACTCCAGTTTTACATGTCTGCTACTGGACCCAGAAAACACAAAAATGGCTAGAATTAAATTGATCTTACAGATATTGTGTTAAATTTGGTCTGGTAGTGAGAGTCAAGCCCAAAACTGGGTTGTGACCTGATATTATTTTCTGTGCAAAACAAGTACAACTGTCTGTTGTCATCATGAGATAAGTTTTAATTCTTGGCATGAAAAGCAGCAGGTACATTTCTTCATAGTGTGTTGGTTGTTCTAGCAATATGTTTGTATGTTTTCTCCAGTAAAATTGTTTATTAAGCATAAATCAATTTACTCTAATGGTAAAAGTGATCAACTGTAAATAGATTCAGATGTAATTATTAGGGTTTCAGCTGTTTTTTGTTGGACACTGTTGACATTTAGACTTTTGCAAAAATGTTCATGATATAATTATTGTAATTAAATGGTTAATTTGAGAAGTAAACAGCCTGTGCGTTCATCATCAACATGAAAGTGGTTAATTTAAGGTTGAATTAGTCAAATTAAAATAAAAAAGGAACTCCACCTTTGTGCTGCGCTTCTCTGTTTGTTTCTCTACAATTTAAAATATGGCTTTTTGTCCCTTTCATTCTGTTGCTTCTTGCTGGCTGTGGAAAAGCGGACACTTTATGTCTGTTTCCTTAGAAAAGGATCAATAAAGTGAACTTGTGATCCACCTGGTTGACGAAAACCGATGACGCGTCTCATCCAGTCCAACTCAGAAAAACATTAAAACAGACACAAAGAAAAATATTAACAGAAGCAAATTGGATTTGACAGCACCTATTTCAACACAGACGAAACGTACTATCCTGATGTCCTTGGCTTCTTGTTGCTTGGATAGTTACGCGTCTCTGCGCCTTTTACGCACCAGCAACAATCACTGATCCGGCTCGTATACTATGACCGTCCGTCTGAGAGTAAATTACAACACATTACTCTTAGAAACATACATATTCTGTCAGTATCTGGGCTCCATTTCTTGCACACGGAGGGGCTGCAGGTAGGTGCGCTCTGACCGGTAACCCGAAACCCTGACGCGCGCGGGGAGCCTCAGAAAAAGCGATGAGCTTGATGTGCAATGCAACTTTTAGAGAGCACGTTACCCTTCATGAAGCAGAATTTGTTGCATTTGTTACACTTTAACCCCAGCAGTTATTTATTCTACTGTAATAAAA